TTCAACTCGCGCGTAGTAACCGTGTTGCGCCTAAGTCTCAAAGGTCATACAACTTCGAATTTTCTTGGTTACTTTGTCATGCATGAAACAGTTCCAAGCCACATTCGTACGGCGGGCTAGGTGACTTGATACCAGATCGTCAGAGCGTGGTGTAACCAAGAGGCGGTTATAACCATTGAAAGGAGGGATTAGGTTTCCTGTCGGTGTCTAGCGTACGGTGCTTTAGTTTCATGGAACCACCAAAAGGCATCTGAATGTCCGCACAGACCAGAGCGTGATCTGAGTCGAGGCAGGTGGACCAATCCTGTACAGTGCCCCGTCATCTGAACCTGCTTGCGATGTGATCGATTTGTGACCACAATTGTGTTGCGGAGGCGCGTCTCCTAGAATGCCTGCAGTTCGTGCTCGCGAAAGGACCGGTTGTCCTCACATAACGTGAGAAGCCGATCCCCGTTATCAGATGGACTCATCAAGGGCGTGACTTCCACCAACATGACGTTCGCAAGACAGCAGGCAACCGACCCGTGCATTGAAGTTTCCGGCAAGCACGATAACGTCGGATTTTTCGTCTTAGAAGCTGGTGGAGTCTAAGATAGAAATCGTCCTTAACCGATGCACAATTGCAATCTGCAGAAACCACAAACTAGTTGCGTCTCTGTACGATGCCTATTGATCTTTCACGAGCCCTGAAGTCGAACCGCACACAATCGGTTGTCAATCGGGAATCACTCGAGCAGCGAGGCCTCAGCGTTTTCACTCAACGCGATGCCAACACCAGTCAGACCAGCTGCAACAGCCTCTGTCACCAGCCGAATATAGGGAATATTTGATCCTGATGACAACTTCACTACCGTACTGGAGTCCTGTAACCGATTCTCAGAAAGACAGCAGACATCAATAGGGAGAGACTCCAAGATGAGCGCTAGGCCGCCTTATTGTCCGATCTGCATAAGGGTTCTAATGTTGAAGGCCATCATCAGCATCATTATACACATCAGCTAGAGATGGGAAAAACACCTCCGCTATTGTGCCGCAATACATGAAGTAAATACATACATATAATACAATACAATACAATGCATGCCAGCTGAGCTACCAGCAACGGATAGGCATCGTTCCGGTAAGCTTCCAGCTAGCTACTAGGCAAAAAGGAAAAAAATATTATGTTTTACCCTAGGAAATGAGATCGTAGATGGATGGGGAGGCTAAAAGGGATGGGGAGGGACAAAGAAACTCACAGCATGAACGCCACTGAGGTCGGCTCCTCGCCATGTCAGCAAGTGTATCCAGCCAAACGTGTTCACCGTCTTTTGGACCCCAACCAGGGAGCCGTGAAGCTCCAACCGAGGCTCGCTCCGAGGTGAGGGACTTCATTCCCCTGGACCAAGTCATCGCTTGGCCACCTCTCCTCTTCTTCCACCCACATCCCCGGTGAGCAAGCAGCGCACGTCGAGGGAGTCGGTGGGCTGGCATGCGTAACACGTGGCCGAGCCATCGGAGCCTGGTGCGGGAAATAACGGTGCTGAGCGGTTCAGATCCTTTTCCTGGGCCGTAAACAATGCGTCGAACACGCTCGTTACTCACGCGGTGTTCCCACCATATGTGAGCCAAATTGCGAAGGCACCGTTGGTCTAACGTAACTAGCCTCTTCATGTCCGCCGATCTTAGGGGCCAGGTTTCGTAACCGTACAGTAAGGTCGAACGTACCGCTGCATTGTACACTCTACCCTTCAGGGCGAGAGTGATGTCGCGCCGCCGCCAAAGGTGGCGAAGGTTAGCAAAAGCGCTTCGAGCTTTCGCTATACGGTTCGTGATCTCGTCTTCGATCCCAAGGGCGCTGATACAACTTCCCAGGTAATTGAATTTCGGAACGACTTCTAGCTTGTCCCCACCAAGGGTCAGCGCAGGAGGCGATCCCTGCCAATCTTGGAGGAGCGCTTTGCACTTCAATGGTGCAAAGCAAAGCCCGAAGCGGCTGACAGCCAGTGCTAATCTGTCCAGTGCCGCTTGGCACGTCTGGGAGCTGTCACAGATGAGGGCAATGTCGTCTGCATGCTCCAAGTCAAGAAGTGGTTCTCCTGGGAGTAGCTCCACACCTTCCAAGTCAGGTCCTGTAAATGCAAACTCTATGACTTCGTCAATAACGAAGTTGAAGAGGAAAGGTGACAGCGGGCATGCTTGTCTCACACCGCTAAAGATATTAAAGGGTGGCGACAGCTTGCCGTAAGCCCTCACTCTGCCCGTGCTACGCGCATCTAATGCTTGGATAATATTTACATATTTCTCGGGCGCACCTTTCCTGAGTAGACAATTCCAAAGGGCACATCGATCAACCGAATCGAAGGCACCTTTGATGTCGAGGAACACAACTAGGGTGGGCCGCCAATATGTGTGACGGTGCTCCATCAACTGACGCAAGGTGAAGATGTGGTCAATGCAGCCACGACCACGACGAAACCCGGCTTGCTCCTCACGAATCTGACTTTCACGAGCGCCAGTCAGTCTTTGAAGAATTATGGAGGCGATGGAGATCAGACTGATTCTTCTATGGTTGCCGCATTCCGAGCGCGAGCCGCCTTTGAAGATGGGAACAATAACGGAGCGGCTCCAGTCGGTTGGGACAGTCTCCTGCTCCCACAGTTTCACTAGTAATTCATGCAAAGCATCCATAAGAGCAGGGCCTCCGAATTTGAAGAGGGCTGGATGAAGATCATCTGGTCCCGCGGCTTTGTTCAACTTCAACAGTCGGATCTCACGTTCGACTTCTGAGCGAGAGGGTGGATCCAAAGGGACAGCCCACGGAGCAGGGCGATCAGTGACCCGCGAATCGGACAATTCAGTGTTGAAGGCGGCCAACCGAAATAGGGATCGAGGACGAAGTAGGGCCACTGGTTGAACGGTTTGGACATGAGCGGCATTGTCATCAGAGATTGATTCCAAGGCATTATTGATGAATATAGGATTGACTTGTGATGGCGCTTAAGCAGTCAGGAGCGTAAGCGGATGGCATAGTAGTAGTAGTTGTTGTTGTTGTTGTTTTATATTAGTTGCTGTGGTAATCTTTGCAGTTCTAGTAGTGGCAGTTCTGCCAGCGGACAAGATACTACCCGGTTGCTCAGGCCGAGGTATGGAATTGTCTTAGGGGACACCGCCCCGAATTATTTTGCTGAATCGCCTTCCTGCAAGGCGGCGGAGAGAATTCTGGGAATTGCGCCCCTTGGAAGCCTTTCGTTTAGACGCTTACCATATAGGGGCCCAATTCTCTCCACGGTTTCAGCATCGGTTTGCTGGATTTACAATGCTCCACCAGAGTGAAGCAATGAGCAGTGACTTTATTTAGCGGCGAGTCATATCCGCCACTTCACAATGTTGTTAAACAGACATTTGTGAATTTTTATAGGTCGCTTGCCAGGCGAATACTCACCATGCCCTAGAACACTGCTGCCGAACCATTGGCAGAAATGGAACAAACACGGTGCACTCAGCTGGCACCACGAGGAGGTTATTCAGCAAGCCAGCGCACAAACTTCTACTCACAAGCTAGTAATTTGGGGATAGTTGTATTTCATTTCAGTGCTTCACCATACTCAAACGTTTGTATACCTCCATCGGAACTCACCTACTCTATCTACAGGATACTTTATCCTCATTATGTCTATTGGTCTCATCGCCGCCGCAAACTGCACCTGAAGCAAAGTGTTCTCAAGTTCTCACTTCCCCAGCTTCTATCTTACGCGTCACTATGCTTTAGAAAAGGTAGCGAATACGAACAATGTATGAATTTGTTCTCTACGACTACCGGGTACCTTCGTTCTGCCAAGCTTCTTTTCTCCTGGATATCGTTACGCCATAGGCTTACTCAAATGTAACCATCATTTCTTGCGTCCACCAGATTTTCGAATGTCTGACAGCAGGATTTCCGTTAACAACCCGGCCCGCGTCCGGCTGGTATGACAGATCAGCCTATTTGAAAAGTGGGAGTATTGATGTGATTTCGCTTAATAGTGGAAGACTTCGAACCGGTTTCAGGGTGACATGCTGTGAGTATCACACACAATATATATCTCTGTCTACACTGAAAATTCCATGGAACATGTGGCTATCCAACTGTGTACTGTGCCTCCTTAGAAAACGCTTCCACATAGTGCCCTTTTGTTGCGCTCTCAAAGTACACGGATGCAAAACATTCTTCATCCCCTCTCTCGTGATATCCACGTGTATGTCGTGATTTCGACGCATTAACCATCGGCTGTGCACTTCCCTTCTGCTTCATCGCAGCTTACAAAATGACTACACGTGTCCGCATTTGTTTCATCATGTTTCCAGATGCAGATACAGTTCATTAATTGGCGTTTGCCGCGGTCACAATACATCGAGTGGTCACTACGTCATTGCATTCCATTGCAATTGTGCTCTAGGCCTTCTTATCGCCATGGTTATTATTTTCGTAACAAACATCGATCTGGAACTTCAGGATCAATGATTCTTACTCTTCCCGATGAGTCACCACATGCGATTTTATTCAACTCTACTGTGGAGTTGTCAAAAATACCTGCCTATTTGGCCATGGTGCCCCAAATGTTTACTCCACATGATTACTACTTCGCACACTGTCATTCCACTGTTCTCTTATTAGTGCTCACATGAATGGCTAGTTGCGATTGTATTGATCTCCAGGTCATTATACAGTGGTGCTTTGTAAGAACCATTTTACCAACACCTTGCTTGATGGCTGGTTTACTGATGCTTTTCCGCAGGTGACCACTATCAATGGTCCGCGGCTTCTAGTATTCTTGGATCGTTACAACCGGGCACTCTCTGTTTGTCTCCAATACACCTTAAGCTTCGTATCATGTTTTTGTGGCCTGCACAACATATATTCCCTCTTCCATTCCACATCGATTTCCTGGTTTTGGTTGTTAAGGAAGCACTTCTTTTAGTCTTTGTGCATCCACACCTCACCTGATTGTTTTGCGCCAACTTCCTTGCTTTTCTTCTAGTGTACGGTATGCTGCCTACTTCGTCCACGTCACAACAGCCCCCACTGTTTTACACCCTGTTGAACCAATCGAACCTTTCTCTCATTTGGCTTCCATCGTCCCACTGTACGTGAAACCGGATCTCCACTCTCCGCTGACTTGTTCGCAAGTGGATCGCTTCTGTCGGTTAATTGACCGATCCTTAAACTCATCTGTTCCAGTGAACCCGCCATTTGCTAACCTGACTGAGTCTGTCTTCAGTGGAGACAACCGACCACTCTTAGGCAGCTCAAAAAGTGCCGTCTCCTTGCTCCAGTCCAGCCGGGATACCGCCAGTGTTCACCTAGCACCTTTGTTGGCCAACTGAATGTGAGTGATCTTTGCGTACGCTTATAATGTAAGGAATTGTGAGGTTTTTCTCAAGTCCACCACTGCTAGCGTGGTTCCTCAGATTTGTCTTACTACTACATCTCATCAATTTCGCGAACGACTCATTAATATATTTTAAACTCTGCTGAGTACCTTTGTTATTGGGTTAATCAAAACATCCTTACAAGCGTATACCGCACCTGCGATAACGCTGGTTGCTGGCGGATGTTCCGCTTTTTGTTGTTTTCTCCTTTATACCTTTCGAAGTATAATCTTCTATCACTGTACACTTGTACAGGGATGTTCAACTGTGAAGTAGCCAAATGCCACTTTTTTCGTAACGAGGTTTATTATATTTACTGTATTCACGGTTCCAGAAATCTGAATAACTACACGAAAACACACTGTTTCAACTCCCCGCCGACCACATTCCCACACTTACTACTAAGCTTCATGTTGATTGGATTGCGACGCGCAATCTCAATGGGGACCGCGATTCTCATTAAAGATTATGTTGCTGTTCGCTGCCTTCTCCTTTAATCTGTTGGCGGAAAACCGTTTGGAACACTTTTGCAGTCAGTGTTGCTGCACGAATCATACATGGCAATCAAGTGCTAAGGAAATCAGGAAGCCGGCTACGCGTGACCGCCAGTTCCTGGGAGGTTTTACTCTTATCTTACGAGGGTGCTGACTGCATGGCACGCCAGTTCGTTTTGGATAACAAACTCTGATGTCGTGTTGGACCGGCCGTCTGTTTAATTCGAGCCGCCTGTGCAGAATTTTTTTTCGCAAACATGCCCATTGTCTACCTAGGACTTTAGCATGCTTTCCGTAATTGATCTCCGAGATGGCCCGGCAATAACATGGCGAAATGGCACGATAAAACTAATCAAACTCGTGAGTTTGGTTAGTATCTTTTCTTTTCCTATTTAGAGTGCTCTGGCTAGACCGCACCACTGCTGACCAAAAGCCCCTGCGGACACGGCTTAGTCACTAGTTTGATGACACTTACATTCGTTGCAACACCCTCCATTTTTATCTCCATTATGTGGCAACAGTGTCCAAGAAATGCTGCCGGCTAGGCGGTTGCGTAGTCAGGCATCACACCTAACACATCTGTTTGTTTGAAATGTCTACAATAGCCAGTTTACCGGATTGACCACTATACATTTCAAAAAGTTCCTTCGGTATCTCAAGTGCTATGCCACCTACGAAGACGGCGTGGTATACCCTTCTGATGAAGACAGTGTCACTAAACTTCGTTAGTGGTTATACTGTGTCGTACTACAGCTTGGCTCTTTTTTTAATTCTCTAGTGTGCATATCAACCAGATTGTCACCACTCAAGTCTCCTCTTACTAAGCCGCCCCCTCGAGTTATACCGGTGGCAACCTCAATGTACATATGGGAAAATCGTGTCCAAACTGCTATACGAAGATGTGTCACCTAATAGGCGCTGGTTGGGAGTTCCATCGTATCGAGTCTCGGCTGTTCATATACAGTCCCATTGTAGACCTGTCATCCTTAGCGCGCACCATTTCCCCCGGGTGGGCCACATCTGTTCACCTAATGCCCGGGCGGAGCCGACAGGCTCTAAGATGACTTTCTTCTCTAGATTCTCTTTATATTCCACTGTGTCGCTTTCTGTGAACTAACCCACCTCGCTTAAATCTTTCTCTTTATATGTCTATCTGTTCGTTCCATAGACACAACTCAATGTACCAAAGTGCCCGCACCTAGCTTGCTGTGCATCTCGAAGTTGCCGGAATCAGTGGAAGCTCACATCTCTCCATGGTTGACGCTCATCATTCTGGCGCACAAATCCGTTTATAATTTGTATTGTTCCTGAGTGCTTCCCCGACTATCACTGAGCGCCATCATCTCCATTGGATTTTATACCCAGACTGCTTAAGGATCATATCGCTTTTTCGTCACTCTGTCGATCCCGCCGTGTTGCTCAGTCATCCCTACTCAATCGGCGGTTCACACGCCTCACATGATCTTTTGCTTCAGCATCATCTCTTTCTCTCTCTCTTTCACTAAACTGCCTTGCCATCGAGTTTCACTCCGTCGCTTGGTCGTCTCCGCACTCTTTTTACATCCCATCATATGCTGACGATCTTCCTTTATGCCTTCAACACATTCGGGACGTTCCCGACTTCTGCGATGCCGGTTACCGATTTTATTCCAATTTTGTCTGCTTTGCTGCTTACATATTGTTTACCGGATCTAACCTCTTTGCTCTTCATGTTCTCTGTGTGTACCTATCATGCTGTGTCTTTTATCTTGTCTCTGGTTTTGCCATCGCTTTACTCTTGTATTCAGATACAAAAGATCAGGTAACTCACGCAATATGTGTTGTTAGCGTGTGCCTCAACTGACGTCCATCGATCTCCTAGACTTTAATTCTAGCGTTCGTATGGCCTAACTTTCAGTATCGGGACTGACTTTGTCAGTCAATTCTTAACGATTTGCATCGTTTCCGTGTTGGCCCACGAAACGAGCGTATTTACGTCACATGTTTCGTAGCTGATCGGTCCTCGAGAGTCCACCACTTGCACACTCGAGATCAGAATTTTAATCCGCAGCCTTGCATTGCTACTTTTTGACTGATTTGTGTGTGGGGGTTTTTCTACAACCTACCTGAATTACATGACAAAATCAGGTGACCTCATAACAATTTATAGCAGACAACTGTCTTGCTCCCTCCTAATCGATTATTACCCGCATGTGCATAAGTTGTTTGGTCTTTGTCTCTGTTCATGGCACAGCTTAGAGAACGTTTTTGTGTGCGGAAATGCGCATGTTATATGGTGTTTACTCTCAAGTTTCGCAAGCCACGCCAGTTTCGACATAACCACTAATCGCAGGAGTTCAACGGCACTGATCGATCAGAAATCCGCACCAAAACGGTTGATGGGGCTTATCCATGTGACTTGGTCGCTTAGTCTAAGACCCGGGGTTTTATTCTGGACATGAACAAATCAAACTACACGGTGTAGATCACGAATCAAAGTTCATGAGAGCGTTCATTTTCCCAAAGTTACGCCGTTCATTTTCTTCGAAAATTCATCGAGTGGAGTTCGCATATCTAAAGGCCAAACATGTTCCGACTTGCCTGGTATGGTGTCATGCACTGTTATCCACAGAATACTATAATTTGTGTACACTCCATGAATGATGTCGCAACGCCTATCCCAACTGGAATGTGCACATGTGGTATGTTGAGGTGGAATCCCTCGTACTTACATTTAAGAATCGTCCATTGCGTTGTCGCTAACTATATTTTTAGAAAATATTGAGTTATTTTCTTTCCGACGTTAACTCGGTCAGATGTCTTCCCTCGGTACACTGCTAAAGTAATTGAATGCTTACATGTCGCTTACCCGTTCCTGATGTTAGATTCTGTGGTCACTGTTTAGACCACTTACACATCGAAGTCGCTGTCCAAATTTTTGCAACTGTATGGACGTCAAGTAGTTAATAGCTCCCCAAATTTTGGTAGGGGAACTTTGAACAACCAAATTTGTGCTATGCATAGAATCGGTGGATGTTTCGCGCATATCAACTTCTAAGCGTCATGGGAGCCATTGTCGTGATCTACGAAGATACCTGAGTCATTTATGCAACCTTTTGTGCCTCAGCACGTTGCCAATATTGCTGTTGTGCTTACATGTGGGTCTCAGGGCATGGAAAGATTGTGTCAATATAACGGTCAATTGATGTAGAACTGACGGAGGCAAATGCGACTGTCTTAGCACCTTAACTTTTTTTTCTTTACTGTTAGTGCTATTTTGATGTATGAATAGTTGGCGGCATCCGGTTCCTGATTTGCCTGTTACTGCGAACAGCCACAGGACGCCTACGTTTACAGAGGGACTATGGATGGCTTGCGCTGTACCACTCACAGCTCCATCCATGCACCCCATATCCAATGTAAATCTGAAGGAATAAGATCGGGAGGCATGGGAGCCACGTTTCATCAACGGAGCCAGCCCACACTCCTTCAACATGCGCAGCATCGATATTTATGTCTATTTGAGGAATCATGTGTACCAGACGTACACAAGTCGGTGGCTGGGCTGTAGCCCGCTGCACACTGGACTGAATCGCTCATTACGCCTAGCACGGTCACGGGGACTGTGCACCCCATCCCCCCTAGTGAAGGACAACTGTCTCCTGGAGCAAGTATAACCGAAGTAGTGTTTTTTTGACGGGTAGGCACCTTGCGAACATTCACATCAAGCGCAATCTAACCGGGGATCTCAACCAACAGTCAACAACTAAAATGCATGGTGCTAAACGCGCAGACACATATGCAGACTAAGTGCAACGATGATGGGGCACACATGCCACGTCGATCGCATTATTGGTCTGGATTAGTAAATTTACTCGCATGCGCTGCACTGATGATGATTGCCTATTCAAGTGACTCGTCGCCTCATCGATGTTGGACCCGCATGGCGACGGTGATGGCTTACGAACTCAGTTTGGCTCAAGCACTCGCTACCGCATGTGCTACGGAACCATGCACTTGACGTCGATGGGCTAGACTCCATCGGCGCCTGTCACTTCCGCAACCGGCGTTTCTTTTCTGCATGCAGTCTATGATTTCTCATGCACCTGAGTAATCGCCTTCTTGATTTGCACTCGCCATCGCCGCCGATCCACTATCATCGCTTCCCAACATCTGAAACCAACATTAGTTCTTGATAAACTCACCTTGATTATGTCCTGGTGATGTTACTTCGGTTTCCCTAAGTTCCACTTTCCTGCACGCAGTTGTCCATACATCAGCTGTTTCTGTAACCGGGTCGAATTCATGCGGCGGACATGTCCAATCCATCTCAGATGCCGCAGCAGAAATATGCAGTCCACTGCATACATGCCATTGCGGCGGAGCAGCCCCGTGATAGCAATTTGGTTGCCCTAGCCGATACCCACAGTGCAATGCAGGAACTGTTGTTGCTTTTAATGACGGACATCCTTTCCATAAAGCGTCCAGATTTCACTGCGGTATAGAAGAACGGACAAAACCATTGACCTGTGCACCATCAGCTTCGTTCCAACGGTAGATTGGTGTTGTTCCACACTCGATTCTCCAGCTTTCCAAATGCGGCAGCCGCCTTCCATGCACGGATTCGCAACTCGCTCGTCATCTGGAGGTTGGTAGACGTTACGCTGCCTAGGTAGGAAAATTTTGAAGTGGATTCCAAAACGTCGTTACCAATGTGGATTTGCGGCCGACCCATGGATTCCACTTCTGGCGAAGGCTAAATAAGACTAACGGTTCTGCTTGTGTTGTTGGTGAGCCTGAACTTGGCCACTGTAGAAGCGAGAACCGTTGCCATGCGCTACAACGCATCCGCGCTGTGTGCAAGCAACGCACAGTCATCGGCGAACAGCAACATAGGGATGGTTGCCTCACACACTAGGGTTCTCGTCCCGAAACGACGGATTTCCAACACGGACACGGTAATCACAAGCTGCATCGCAAACACAGGACATCATTGCATTTTTGTAAATGTTCAATAGGACATGGGCTAAGACAGCCGTTCTTCACACTAGTGACACCATCATAGTCATCCGAGGTTTGTCCACCTAGCTGCACCCTCGCCTACATACCACTGTACGGATATTCTATTAGGCTTACTGCTGTGCCAGGTGTTGCCCGTGGATTTCAGTGGCATAATAACCAAGGCATCAGTTGTTAACCACGAGGTCGCAAGTTCCATCCCAGCTCAGGCTGTCTTAACCTGATGTCCAACCGAGGACGAAACTGTCGGTCTTGAGATGTCAATGTTGGAAGGTACAATATCAAATCACATTCTCCGCGCAAGCAAACTTACCCGACACTATCACAGTGCTCGGCGGTTCACCGTGTCAAATGCGCTGGTGTAATCAACAAAAACCGAGTACAATGGCTAGTGTCGCCCTTTGCATTTTTTCCGCAGTTGACGGGTCGCAAACACATATGTGGTGCTGCAACCCGAACGGAATCCGCATTGCTCTTACGCCACGTTCGGTTCACGACCTGAGTGATGAGGTTGTTGTGCAGGATTTCAGTAATCATTTTCCCCACACAACAGCAAGTTGATACCACAATAATTTGTGCAACATTGCTTGCTCTCTTTGCTCTTGTGCAGTAGCAACACAGGCGCATCTCTCAAGTCAGCCGGCACTTCCTCTTTAAACCACACACATGCACCAAGTGGTGCAACGCCTGTATCAACACGGGTTTCGAAACTGTCAATATCCATTCGGCTGCGGCGCACTTGCCTTTTCGCAGACGAGCAATGGCTCTGCCTCTCAAAGGCGGCGGACCGTGCGCCAAAAGTCAGCGAACCGACTAACGCGGAAGTGTGTCCTGATTCTTAGCTAACAGAAGAGTGTAACTCAACTCCCTCCCAACCGTCGCCATGAGGTAGCTTCCGGGACATGAGCCCACGGCATAGGATTAGGAGCAGCTGGTCGACAATCTGTCTGAATCTTGCAACTACAAACCAAGGCAAGCCATAGACTCTAGCGCCTGATGATATAAATCTGGAGTCAGCTTCTCCCTCTTGTTTCCTCCACATTCGCGCTGGATGTTGGTGCCTTCTCGCCTGTAAGCATTGATGATGTTTCTTGCCGTGCTCTCGCTGATATGGACGATCTCAGCAGCTTCCTGGGTAGTTTTGCTCTTGACGAACACAATCTTGGTGTGAATCTCTTTCTGCGCCGATGACTTTCGCTTGTATCGTCACCGCCTCGTAGATGCGTTTTCTCGGCGTTCGTCGCTCTTTTTGGTCACTTCGTGCAGCGCAAGTCTGATAAAGCTATACTGAGCCATGATAGCCTACACCCTTACAATAGTCGTGCAGCTGCATAGGTTCGCCCACAGACCCGCGCAAAATACGTGAAGGCCCGTACAGAGACAAGGGAAAACTGAGTCACTTCCTATCTGCTTCATCGGTTACGGTCCCATTGATAGAATCGGCCAAGGTTTACTTCCGTGAAGATCGCGTTTCACAATGAGATTGCATAGCGCAATCCATTCACGAAGTGTGTGCTTTACAATGTCCCTCCAAAGGTAGGTAACATTTAGTGTAGTCATTACAGACTACGCAATTCGGGAGTCTGACGTGCCAATAGTCGCGCAGCTACGCAGGTTCACCTGCACAGACACATGCAAATAAACTGAACGAAGTTCGATGGGGAGAGAGGGGAAACTCAATCGGTGTCTTTGATCGAGATTTACAATCAAGGGAACGGTCTACGTTGGCACTCGCTGCTTACCCAAATTCGGTTGCATTTGCATTACCACAAGGTAGTCTGAACGTCGTCTAGTCGCCTTACTCCACATCCCTTGC